CCCCCCCCCTCTTCTCCTCCCCCCAAGTCTCCAAATGCTTACAGAGACCCCAGCAGCTCCCCTATTCCTTGCCAGAGGCTCCCACCTTGGGGCACCCCTGGAAGCTCGCCCCACAATGGTATTTTTCCCCTCCCTCCTCTCCCACCCCCATCTTGGGGTGCCCTCACCCCTCTGTCACCCCCGTGGGTGACATCAAAGGATGCAACCTACCTCCACGTAGGATGGGGGGATGCTCTTTGCTCCCAATCAAATCACACATTGAGAGGTGTTACCCCCACCTGTGCCCTCCCCCCCCTCCCCACGAGGTGCGGGGGGGTCCCACCTCACCCCTATATCTCCATCCCATGTCGGGTTCCCACCCGAATATGCGGTCTCCCTCCGTCCGCACCTTTCGGTTCGGGCTCGGGCTCCGCTGCAGCCGCGCTTCCTGCGGGTTCCCCCCCCCCCCTTTCCCCTCCTCCTTCTCCGCATCGTCACCGCCGCCGCTCTGATCCTCGGGAAATGCAGTCCTGCACCGAACGTCCATGTGTGCTTTTGCAACCGGCTGCAAACACGCGCGTGCATGCACACACATGCACACGCGTACGGTCGCTGGCCTGCAAGCACACGCTTGCATGCACGCACACGCATGCACAAGTGCGTGGCAGCTGGCTGCAAACACCCCCGTGTATGCACGGCCACACGTGCACCCCGAGTTCCCGTCTTGCTGCAGGGGAAGGGGAGCTCAGGCTCCATCCCCCTCCCTCCCCCAGCTTTGCAAAAGGGAATTCAATGAGCAAAGGTTTAACCACCTTTAATGCACTTACAGAGAAGATTATAAGAGAGCAGAGCTTTCTGATGGGTGGGGAGGAGGTTTCAAAGCCCCTCCAGCTGGCTCGTCCTGTGGGATTTCTGCTGAGTAAAGGCACTGCTCTCAATTAATTAAAATGCTGAAGAATGGGACTAAGGGAAACTCAGCAAGGGATCTCCTTCTAAGGAGATGTAGTCTCACTGTGGAGGAGTAATAGGATGTCATGGCTTTTCAGTTCTTTTCTCCCTCTAACTCTCTAGTGGCTGAGACCTGCAAGAGGAACATGCCCTTTTCTTGCTGGAAATACTGAGGAAAACCAGTTTAACCCCTTCCTGAGAGCTGCTTTTCGCCAGCACATCAAAGGATGCAACCTTGTGCTTGTTGTCACATGACCAGCCGTGTCACATCTGTCCCTTTTCCCAGCTGGGTGAGTCCCAAAATGTCACAGAATCATAGAATCACAGGTTGGAAAAGATCTCCAAAGTCACCAAGCCCAACCCCAAACCATCCCTACCTACATGTGTCCCCACAACCAGGGCTGCATGCACGCTCCACGGGATGAACCTGTGAGTTGGACCCTCCATGCCTTCCACGGATGACCATTTTTGGGGAAAGACCTCCAAGAACACCAAGTCCAACCCCAACCCATCCACACCATGCTCACTACCCATGTCCCCAAGTGCCACACCTCCATATTTTGTGAACACTTCCAGGGATGGTGACTCACTGCCAACGGGCAGCCCGTTCCAATGCCTGATCACTCTTTCAAAGAAGAAATTTTCCTTAATAGCCAACTTGAACCTCCCCTTGTGCTATCTTCCCAGGACACAGGATGCACTAATTTCACACGTGGAGTCTACAATGAGATGCTGAGGGTTGAAGCTGCCTCTCCATGCATGAAAGTCCTTCGTTTGCCCTGCAGACATCATTCCATCTTTCATCCTCCACCAGACGCCAAGAAAACAACTCATTTTGGCGTTTCCTGCATGTCCCCTCCACCTGCCCAAGGCCAAGCCATGGGGATGAATTGCAGCCGCAGTCAAATTAGCCAAGTCAGGGAAATGCAGAAAGGCTAAGGAGGACTTTCCAGGTGCAAATGGGAGGAGAACAGCTTTCTGCTGGGAACTTTGAAGCATAATCTTGGATAACTCATGTTTCTGCTGAGAAATTGCCACACTCAGCTGAAGCCAGAGCCCAAATCACACCGCCGTCCTGAATAACTGTGGTGCTGGGTTTAAAGATGCTAATTATGGAGCCAATTACCCAGGTAATGTTGGGGCATGAAGGAAAATCACAGGGAGAGTTGTAAACGTGCAGTGACCGCACAGGATGGGGCAGACTTGTGGCTTTTTGCATAATCTAGCAAAATCTGCCAAGCTAAGGATAAAAGCATGGAGATGATCCTTATGCTGAGATATCTCCTGTGTGGCATAAAGCAGAAGACCTTGCATCAGGCATGGTAGAGCTTGGGTGACTTTGTCACAGCTAGAGAACCTCTGTGTCGTCTCTGTGAGGAAGCTTCCTTGTGGGTAACCTATTTCTCTTCAGCTGTCTGGTCATTTCCAACCCTGCTCTTTCCTCCTGGGAAAGGGTGTACAAGCAATCCAAATGCATCCTGCCCCAGAATGAAGTGGAAACCAGCTTGCAATGTTGATTCAAGGAACCAGTGTGAAAGTGCACAGAATGATGAGTCAAGGACAACAGCCATGGTTTTTCCTAGAAATGGGAGGATTCTCTGCGTGGGAAATAGGAACCAGTAGCAATTCAAATGGAAAATTTCTGGACTTGGGTTGAGAAAGGAGTAAACCTGATGCCTTGCAAACTCGTGGGATTGGGAGATTTTGTTGTGCAGCATCATCGTCATCATCACTTCGTGTTTGGTCCTTCAGTCCTCTTGAAGGAGAGAGGCAAGGAAAAGAGCATGCGTGCCCTCCATGGTCACTCATAGTCACAGTGACTGCTTTGTGACAGTTACGGAATTTTGGGGTGGCTGAGAGTCACAATGAGATCAGACACTGGGTGTGGGGCCAGCCACACCCCAACCTGTAGCTTGGGAAGGTGAAGGTGGACCTCCTCCAGCAGGTCCCACCTGTTGTGTGCCTGGTCCTGGTATGGGATCTCTTAAGGATGAGGCATGAAGAAGGCAGACAGGTTGGACAAGAGGACAGTCAAGGTGACATGGTCTCCGGATTCCATGGGGTTGCTGGTAGAGGATGGATACAAGAGAAGCATATGCAGGTCCATCCATGCTTCCAGGAGCAATGGCGGTCTGGGTGGTGAAAGACAGTGTGTCTTTGAGCTCTTCCCGAGTTCTCTGTGAACCTGTCTGAGCTGAGTGTACCCAAAACGAGAGGCTCTGCAGCAAGTTGAGGCTCAGACATCCTCTGACATCCCGGAGGGCCCAGCTGCTCAGGCACGTTGCAGTGCTGCAGGGAGGTGAGGTCTGCACTGTTCCAGTCCAGGGGCTGATGCTGAGTTGGCGGAACTCCAAAGGTGAGCAACTCTCTCTCACAAAAGCAGGTATTACGTGATTTTTTTTTTTTTTTTTTCCCTTACATTGATTAGACTTTACCATAAAACAAACTGAAATAAACCCCTCCAGGATAATGGTGCACATCTTCAGGGCTGATGAGCTGTTTGAACTTAATCACTGGTTGAAAAAGCTGAACAGATCTGAGCCCATCCCAACTCCCCTTGATTGGCTCCAAGGCAGGTGATGCTTGGTTTTGATTCTAGGAAAGGGCTTTGTTCCCAGGTAGAAGTTTCATCTTTGAAACCAGGCCGACTGCAGCTGTGCAACTGGACTCCAGCTGCTCTGGAGAGGTTCTATTAATTTGCTTTTGATGAATATTTCAGTTCTGCCAATTCCCCTGGAGACTGCAAGTCTCACTCCTCAGCTCACCTGTTTTGCAGGACTCAACCTGTGCAGCACAAATTATAGAAAGAAAAAAAAAAATTAAAATAGAGAAGAAAAAGTGAGCGGAATCGATGACGGCCAAGTTGGGAGGTGTGCTTGCTACTCAGATATCTGTATTTTCAATCCCAGCGTGGGAGGGTGGCACAGAGAAAATACCCTCATCTCTGTAGCTGCAATAGCAGCGAGGTGAACGTCCACCTGTGCTTGGTACTGGTGAGGCTGCATTTTGAGTACTGTGTTTAATTTTGGGCCCCCTTGCTACAAGAAAGACACGGAGGCCTTGGGTTGTATCCAGAGAAGTGCAATGAAGCCGTGAAGGGTCTGGATCGCAACTCTAACAGGGAGTGATAGAGAGAACTGGAGCTGTTCAGTCTGGAGAAAAGGAGGCTGAGGGGAAACCTCATCACTCTCTACAAGTACCTGAAAGAAGGCTGAGGCGAGGTGGAGGGTCAGCCTCTCCTCCCAGGTAAGAACAATAGGTTGAGAGGTAATGGCCTTAAATTGTGCTAGAGGAGGTTCAGGTTGGATATGAGGAAGAATTTCTTCTCTGAAAGAGTGGTTAGGCATTGGAAAAGGCTGCCGAGGGAGGTGGTGGAATCACCATCCCTGGATGTGCTCAAGAATTGCGGAGATGTGGCTCTGAGGGATGTGGTCAGTGGGCATAGTGTAGGGGGAATGGGTTGGGGTTGGACTTGGACATCTTCAATGATTCTTTGACTTGGGGTCCTTGGAATGGGTGACCTAAGAACCATTAGTTCCTGCTTGGTGGTTAGTACTGGGTGATGTGCTGAAATTCCAGCCCGAGCACCTGAGTTCTAGTTGCTAACATCCCAGTGTGGGGAGGTTCTGGTGTCCTTTTGACCCACCCTGATGGCTTCTAGAACCGTATCTTAGTAGTGGGTGAAGTGGGAAATCACTGTGCAGAGAAAAGAAGAGAAGGCATCTGAGGCTGGCATGCATTAGAAATTTATTGAGGAGTATAAATGAGAAGGAAGGAGTGCCAAGAGAAATGGGCAAAGACTTAAGAGCATGTGGTGTGACCATCAGCCTCCTTCCACAGGAAGAGAGGGATGCAGAAAAAAATGTACAAGATCTGGTCTCCAGCTCTGCCTGCATTTTGATATCATGAATGAAGAACCATGGTTAAGGAGCTGCTGATTTGATATGCCATAAGAGACATGTAGATGTGAGCTCAGGGGCAGGGGATGCAAGGTGTAGGCTCACATGGAGGTTTGCAGAGAAGTTGTCAGGAGAATGGTATGAGGGAGCGAGGTTCAGGGCTGGCTTTTATGCTGCTGTGTGACTGCCTGAAGGCTTGGAGAGAGCCTCTGCACATGGCAGCATTGTGCAGTGAGCTGCTGTTGCGTGCCAGAGC